ATAACCAAGGCACATTATTGAGAAATTCTTAAAGATCTTGTTTTTGTCATCTTACGGCTTTTAATGAAGATGGAAACATTGACATGGAAATAATATAATAGCCAATGTTCAGCGAAAGGTTTTCGTTTATAAAATTTTGTTGCTGTTCTCGACTTGATTTTTATTTTATTACCTCGTCTCCATAGTTACTATTTGCAAATAGTCAACAATATTGTAGGTCTATTTTATTGTTGTTCTTTCTACGAGCGGCGCCGTTATAACACATTTTCATCTCATTATTTAATTTCTGTTGTGCATATATTGTCGTATAGAAGATATTTTAAAGTGATTTATCAGGTGGAAAACGAATAGATAGATAGATAGATAAACCGATATGTGGCGCCATCTAGTGTACTTACATTCATCTAGAAATTTTCATTAAAGTGACCCGAAAAACGGGACTAACTCGGTAACCCGTGGCCCAATTTTAACGAAACTTGTTTTATTCTGTTTCTATTCTCATTTCATTACAAATATGGCGCTACTGTACGCCATTTTTGCTGTATTTAATTACAGACAAGCAAACAAACAAACAATCTCAGAATTTTAGTAGTATATAGATTATTATTTGATTGTTATGTTGTTTTAGCAGTTACTTGAAACGCTGAAAGCCCGCAAAATATTGGAAAATCAATAGGCCTAAAATTTTTTTAAAAACTAGTTAACTGTAAGTATTTATTTTCCACATTCCTCTTAATTTGTCCAATTCGGCTCGAAATTTGAGGTGTGTAAAAAATAGCATTTCAGGTTAATACTTTGTCTCTCATAAGTCACTGCCCACTTTTTGAGTCGCAAAGGACGAAGTAAGATTAATGTGGAAATAGAACATCTGCTGTTAACTTGTTTTTAAAACAATCCTTAGGCCTTTTGGTTTTCCTGTATTTCACCGGCTTTCGGCATTTAAACCGTAACTTTTAAAGCTTTACACTGCATATAAATAGCGTTTCATAGAATATTTTGTCTCTCATCGTCCTGCACAACTCATGAGTTCTGGTAACGAAGGAAATGTTTATTGAGAAGTCATTTGTGGGAAACAAAAGATAAATGTTGAGTGCTATTTTTATACACCTGATTCCGAGCCGTATTGAACAAACTAAGGAGAAAGCGGAAAATGGACATTGCGGTTATTTGTTTAAAAAAAATTAAACAAAATAACATTTCACACTTTTTTGAATCAGCCCTCTAGAATTCGTCACGATTAACTTAAATTGGTGTGAGGAAACTTGAACAAAAGATATAAAAAAAACACACCTACTGTACTATGATGATCATGTAATTGCAAACTTATGGCTCTACAGATGATGAATGAAATATCACTTCAGGAAAACTCTTTAAGAGGAGATTGGGGTGTATATTCTATCACATATTCTTCAGGAAGGGAAAATTACAACTTTATTTGGACCTGATTCTTGGAATTGGTAGTTATGATCATTTAGAGTTGCTAAACGATGAAACAAACAAAAATTAACGGATATGGATGACACATGCAGAGTGCGCGATTGTGCATAATACTAATTTAACCAACACTGAATTGCCATGACCCGAATTAGAATAAAATAATTTTTAGTTTTAGACAGATCAAATATTTTACATGTCGACCTAGCTAACTAACAATATGAATAAAATGTTTAAAGCAGATGTTTAAAATATAAGAAATGTATAATAATGGCGGAGACGGCTTGAATGAGTAATGAAGAAAAACTTTAATATAAGTTTAACATACCAACAAATGTA